CGCTCTGAGACTCCTTCGGGTAGTGAAGGGCGGGGTATAAATCCAATCTCTTCTTCTTTTACCTCACAGGGTGTCTGTTGTGGGGAGGGGAAGGGAAAGGACTTTGTAAGCCGCTCTGAGACTCCTTCGGGTAGTGAAGGGCAGGGTATAAATCCAATCTCTTCTTCTTTTACCTCACAGGGTGTCTGTTGTGGGGAGGGGAAGGGAAAGGAGTTTGTGAGCCGCTCTGAGACTCCTTCGGGTAGTGAAGGGCGGGGCATAAATCCAATCTCTTCTTCTTCTTTTACCTCACAGGGTGTCTGTTGTGGGGAGGGGAAGGGAAAGGAGTTTGTAAGCCGCTCTGAGACACCTTTGGGTAGTGAAGGGCGGGGTATAAATCCAATCTCCTCTTCTTCCTAAAGTGACACAGAAATCTGCTGCAGCCAGAAACTTCATTCCTCAGGCTAGTGGGGTGTCGTGGTTAGGATGCTGGGCCGTGACCTGGGTTTAAATCCCCACCCTGCCATGAATCTGACTGGGTAACCTTGAGCCGGTCACTCTTTCTCAGCCTGGTCCCACCTCACGGTGTTTGTTTGGGGGAAATTAATTAATCATTCTATGATAGTATGTGTAGTATAGCGGGGAGATCCTAAGATTGTCTGGCAGCCCCACATTCTAGCTCTTTTAGTGTTATGCACCACTAGGTGGCAAGCCAGACTTGTTTTTGAGGCAAGAGACAATTCAGAGATGGTTTGCTGTTGCCTGCCTCTGCCCTGGTATTCCTTGGAGGTCGCCCTTCCAATTCCTAGCCACTGCTGACCCTGCTTAGCTTCTGAAATCCGACGAGATTGGGCTAGCCTGGGCAGTCCAGGTCAGGGCTTTTGGGGATAAAATAGAGGGAGAGGAGCTGCCCTTTGAAGAAGGGCAGAATAAAGCGATGTAGGTAGAGAAGGCTGACTGACCAAGTGCCATCTGCTGCTTCTCTTTCTGACAGTTTGATGCCATCCCTTCATACGGAATGTCCTCCGCCTGAACAAGATGGAGTCTCCAGTCCCAGATAGTTGTACCTGCTTCCCCAGCGACAGTCTCCACTGAAAACGTGTCTTCACCCAGGGCAAACGACCCCGTTCCATACAAGAGGGGCCACGATCCGTCAAGGGAGTAGGAAACTCTGGGCAGGGAAAGTTCCTGTATGGACCCCCACGTCTTCCCACCCCATGCAGCTGGACCTCCTCATCCCCCTCCCCTTTTGGTCCCTGAATAATCACTCCTAAATCCTGATGTTCCTTCTTCATTTCAGTTTTTGGAGGAATTGCCTGGGGGGGGGGGCGGGGTTTCCATGTTCTTTTTAAAAGTCTCAGTAGCATTCAGAGTTCTGCCCTTTCAGATGCCCAGTAAAGGGAGATTCTTCGCTTGCCTATGGTTAGACGTCTTCCCCCAATTTGTCACTTTTTATTTATTATTTCTGAACCAGCTCAGTGCCTTTGAGTGTCAGACTACTGTACCAAAAAATGAACAGGAAGACGTCACCATGAGGTTTTCTGGGTGTTCTGGTTTTGATCACAGCCAGGATGAAACTCCAACTTAAAGGACCATGGTGACCACCCGGCGTGGCCGCATCAAGAGGATTGGGTTCAAGGTGCTGCACTCCTGTTGTCCACGGGGAAAGGCTTTGTCTCTTTTGCAGGGGCAATGGCAGTGGGTCGTTTTGACCTGTGAGAAATAAATTTCCTTTCTGTTTTCCCTTGCCTTGGACATGACTGAATGTCACTGTGGATATTTTAATGTCTTTCTTCCCTGTATGTGTCCAGCTTCGTGTGTGGCCCTGGAGTTGACCCGCCTGTGGCCGTGGCATTGGCCCTGGGAGTTTGGGAGGGGTTCGTAAAGGAGGAGGTTGCGGAGGGGCCTCAGACAGACAGGGGACGGGGTTATGGTCACCCCGCAGGTCCCTCAGCCAACATGTGCTGAACACCTTCGGTCCCGTCTCTCTCTCTCTCTTTCTCTTTCTCTCCGTCTCGTTCCTTCGCACTTTCCTCCTCCCCAGCCCGTCCTTTTATCCCCCGCCCCACTCCCAGTGCCGCCTGCCGCCTGTAATCCCCGCCTCCCCTAATCCCGGCCTGGCCCCCCCCCTTGATAAACCCTTCTGGTCATTCTGGGCGTGGTTGTGGGTGGCGTAGCTTCCCCGTCATGCCTGCCCCTAGCCCTCCCTTTGCTTCACCGCTTCCCGGGACAGAGTTCCGAGGGGTCATGCTCTGCCGGCGTGGCCGCCTCTCCCTGTGCGTGGCCGCCTCTCCCTGTGCTGGTCGCCTCTCCCGGGGCCTCCCGGGGCAGGGCGTCGTGCTGTGGTCCCGTCGGTCCTCTCCTAAAGTCTGTTTGTTCTGGAGATAGGTAGGAGTTTTGTTCCATCCAGTCTGTTAATCTGTCAAGTAAATGCGCTGCATAAATTTTCCCTGGGATTGAGAGGAGACTAATAGGGCGATAATTTTGAGGGTCTGATCTACAACCCTTCTTATGAATAGGCACAATGGTCGAACGTCTCCAGTCCTCAGGTATTGCACCCGAGCTGTTTATTAGTGAGAAACAAGAGGCTAAATATCGCCCCCACCACTCGGGGTTCATTAAGAAGAGGTCAGGAGGAATAAAATCAGGCCCTGGGGGCTGAAGTACTGAAAAAGAATGCAAGCGGCCTGAAAACTGTCACAGCGCCGCAAAACTACCTAGAGCCGGGAAGGACCATTCTCTGCCAGAGAGCTGCCGTCCATCTGATTAAGCAGCATTCGGTGCTGTCCCGCACTGGGACAGCACGCGTAGTTTCCCCATGGCTGCTGTGGATACAGCTCGACAGAAACGGTCCTTCTGCATGTCAAGTTTCCCTGCCCCAGTACCCTGGCACTGGCCATTCCCCACACCGTGCCACTTTTCCAGGCTTTTTTTTTTTTTTTAGACAGGAGACGGGGTTATGGTCACCCCGCAGGTCCCTCAGCCAACGTGTGCTGAACAACTTCGGTCCCGTCTCTCTCTCTCTCGGTAGTTCAGCAGTTCGAGACCCGAGTGTGCCGCATGACAGAGTGAGCTCCCGTCTCTGGTTCCAGCTCCTGCCAACCTAGCAGTTCGAAAGCAAGAAATTGCAAGTAGATAAATAGGGACCACTTCGGTGGGAAGGTAACAGCGTTCTGTGCGCCTTGGTGTTTAGTCATGCCGGCCACATGACCATGGAAATGTCTTCGGACAGCGCTGGCTCTTCGGCTTGGAAATGGAGATGAGCACCGCAACCCTAGAGTCGGACTCGACTGGCTTTTGAGCAGGGGAACCTTTACCTTTACTTACAACAATGCAACAACCCTGACCTGGATGGCTCGGAAGCTAAGCAGGGTCGGCCTTGGTTAGTGTTTGGATGGAAGACCGCCGAGGAAGTCCAGGGTCGTGACGTAGAGGCAGGCAAGGGCCAACCTCCTCAGTTCGTCTCGCCTTGAAAACCCTCTGGGGTGGCTACAAGTCGGCTGTGACTTGATGGGGCTTTAGACACACATGCGCACAACAATGTGTGTATCGTTCTCTGATTACCCAGCTTTTCATTTTCTTCTTTAAAAAGTAAGCCTTTTCTCCCTTTCTCACAATACAAGAACTCGTGGGCACTGCATGAAATTGCTGAGCGGTCGGGTTAGAACGGATAAAAGGAAGCACTTCGCCCAAAGAGTGATGAACACGTGGAACTCACTGCCACAGGAAGTGGTGGTCCCTTTCTCACAATACAAGAACTCGTGGGCACTGCATGAAATTGCTGAGCGGTCGGGTTAGAACGGATAAAAGGAAGCACTTCGCCCAAAGAGTGATGAACACGTGGAACTCACTGCCACAGGAAGTGGTGGCGGCTACAAGTATGGATGGCTTCAAAAGGGAATTAGATAAGCATATGGAGCAGAGGTCCATGAGTGGCTATTAGTCACAAGGTATAGATAGGGACTCTGGG